TAGAGTCATATACTTCTATGTTTAATTCTTATTTAGATAATTAGGATAGTCTAATTTAGTTAATAGTTAATCACAAGTCCTCGTGGGTTCGACATTCGACTTTTACTTGACGACCGTGTATACTTGCGTGTGCGTTTGGCAACAACAAGTTTTTGGCGTCATTGCTAGGGACTTCGAATTAGCTTATTTTCTAGATTAGACTTTTACTTTTATCTTTACAAGTTTTTTTCCTTTTTATAAATATTTTTATTTTTATAACAATTTGATAATCTTTGTCTTAGTGTGTTTCTAGTTCTCTCAACATAACATATGGGGATGAAATATCCAGAGATAAGGTTATTGATGAAGACGCTTGGTTGACGGAAGACTTTTATGGCCCGTCTTTTTTGGCTTGTCATGACCTGAACTCTGGGAGGTCTGAATTTGAATATGGGACTAAGGGTTGGTATTGAGACGGATATTCTCGATTAAGGGAATATGCAGAATGATGTTGTCTTCTAACATCGTTGGTGAGTAATTGGTTTAAGGAGAGAGATGAGCTTGCCATAAAATTGATAATTTTGGCTTGGTTGTGCATAATTTGGATGCATATTTGAGTGCAAAGGTTGATGCGTGTAACACCCAACAATTTAATGATGAGTTGTGTGAAGCTGAAAAAAATCTTCTAGACCAAATTGAGGAGTTAAACAAGAATACCAATCATTAGACCATATTTTTTTTTATGATGTCAATGTTGAGAAGAGTGCTCTAGAGTCACATAAAGGAGTAGATAACATTAATTTAGGAGACTTGAGTGTATGTATATACGGGGATGTAAATAGTAGTATAATTCATGAGTTAGGCGCATTAGACCTCACTCCAATCATTTTTTCACATTGTGTTTAGATAGTGAGATAGTAATCAAGCCATCTGAGCTATGGGGGAGTCAAAGAGTGAGGATGAGAGTGCCTATATTTTTGAATTTGATGTGCCGAAAAATAAAAATTACATTCCTCATCTAAGGACCGAGAAGTACATGGTAAAAAATTTATTACTTGGCCTGGTTATCTTTGTAGCCCCACCACTTGAGCATAGCCGCAGACTCGATGCCATGTTAGAGGTACAATTCATAAGTTCGAGGTGGAGGAAAAAGTAGTTCACGTCGTGCCGCGACGTTAAATTAGACGCTTGTTGGGAGGCAACCCAGCTTTACTGCTTTATTTTATTATTTTTGTAGTATTGTTTCGTTTTGTAGGATTATGTACATAGGAAGAAAAGTCACTGGAAGCGTGCAAAAGCGAGCCAGATGGTTGGAACTAGTGTGAGATACCCGCACAAAGGATCATCCTTGGGAGAAGTCTGAATACCCTGTGAGCTGTTATTGCTTCGGCCTTTGGCCTTTCAGGGAGTTTTTTGTCCACCCTTGTTATTTTTACTTTATTTGTGCATTTGGGACATTGCACTCTTTTAAGTGTGCGGTGGAAGATTATCTATGCTTTGTATAGATAATAGTATATTGTTAGTTTCTTATCTTTTTATTGTTAGCTAGATTTTTATTTTTAATTGCATAGTTAACAGAATTAATGGTGTAGTATAGTAGTAGTAGTTTTAGTAGCTTAATTTAAAATTTTAAAAAAATCAAAAAAAAAATTGAAAATATTGGACTTTTCCCGACAATGGATCTCCTAGACAGTTTTCTTAAGTGATTAAAGTCTAAACAAAAAAATTGCAAAATAGGAAAAATAAAAAAAATGTTTCTTTTAGTTTTTCATAGGTAGCAATAATCCCCCGTGGTTTTTCTTTGTGCCTCGGTTCTTTTTCATGGAATGTAGTTTGAACCGGGTAGTTTTTTCTTTTAGAGTAGATTAGAAATTTAGGAAATAAAAAGGAAGAAGATTGATGAATCTAGGTGCCCTTGACTTGTTTGATAGTAGCATATTTAAGCTTTAGCATGTGTAGTATCTTCCCTATGATTTGAAATTATTGATGATGCCTTGCTTAGTTGGATAGCATGTTTTATGACGCCTATGTCTCGTTTTCTTGACTTATGTTCACTTTGCGCTTAATGCTTAATATCTCGTGGCTCCGTGAATACTTGCATTATTTGAGAGTCGGAATGAGACCGTCCTTAGTGAGTCATGTATCATGTGTGGTGAGGTTTTTGTGTAGTCCATGTTTTTGTGATTAAGTCTAGAACTTGCCCGGTATGTGAGTTGAAGCAAAATTTTAGGTGATGCTCGGTTTGAAAAATGATTTTAGGCATTCTTTGATCTTTTTGATCCTATTGCTTATCACAAATAAAATTTATTCTTAGTTAACTCTTTTGAGCCTATAGACTTTTAGTTGGTACCCACATTACAAGCATATACCCTTTTTGTTCTTAATTGACATTGTTTTAATTTTTTTTTACCTCTTAAAGTATGTTAATTATAAAATGAGCACTAAAAGAAGTAAGAAAAGACTAAGTATGGGGTGGCTTTTGAGTGGAACCAATGAAAGAAAGAAGGGTATACTTATTTTGTAAAATAATACACCACTAGCAGAAATTTTAAAAAAATGTGAAAAGAGAGAAGGAAAAATATAGGTGAATAAATTGTTGTCTTATTCTTGCTAGTGGGGTATAAATTAAAGTAGTGCTTAAAGAAAAAAGAAATATTTTTTGGAGGTGAACTTGTTTGTGAAGTTGAAGTTGGATTGAGAAAATATGCGTTTAAAGTTGATTATGTGATGTGTTAAAGTGCTCAGGAGGGTGAACCACTATTCCTAAATATATTCTACCCATCCCTTAGCCGACATTATAACCATGAAAAGTCCTAATTGATTTTAGATCGAGCGAGCTTACATTAGTAGAGGTTTACATTAAGGGCAAGCCTATGGTACCAATTACATGCATGCGATTTCTTTGTGAGCATGAGCAATTTTCTTTGATATATGTGAGTTCTTAAAATATATTTGAGCATTTGATTCGAATGTGTGGATTCAACTTAATCTCTTGATCTTGTTGTGAGAGCACATAATTTCATGAGGGATAGGTAACATTATTAGACTTCTCTACAATGCTGGGTGTTCAAGCCATGAGTGCATTATGACATTTGGTTGATTTTTGAGGCTAGGATTGTTATGAGCATGTTGTCTTTGTTTGAATATTTTTTAAGAATGACATAAGTAAAGGGAAGTGTGTGTTGAATATATATGCTAAGCTTAATTGTTGCTATCCATTGGTGTAGTGTGCTTCGAATATGTTAAGTGCTCAAAGATAGAGTAAATTGTTAGTTGACTCGAGGACGAGCAAGATTTTAAGTGTGGGGTGGTGATATTCGGCCAATAATGCATATATTTACCTATTGTTGCCTCATATTCTACTACTTTTAATCGTCTTTTGAGTGTTTATTATATTACTTTATGCTTAATATTATATTTTAATTGAGTAGGAATAAAGCAGTATGAAGATGAAGAGATTTGAAACAAAACTGAATAAAACGCGGAACAAAAAGAAAGAAAAATAAAAGAATAAAATAAGGTGATCGGGGGGGGGGGGGGGTTTGGTGTTTGTCCCCCCAAATGTAAGACATAAGGGAAGGCCAATTCAATTGAAAGCTAAGAAGGAATTGAGCTTGCAAAAACTTACTGGATTTAGGGCCTGGACGCTCGAAGCGGGGACTAGTCCTATTTCTCCTGGGACTTGGTTATTTCGTCTCTACATATTCCCAACTCATATAAAAGGGGTCCTGAACCTATTTTGGAGGGGAAAAAGGTTTTTGAGAGGAACTTTTGACGAAGGAAAAGTACAGAGCCGCTGAGGAGGCCGAGTTTCATCTTTTCTTCCACCAAACTTTGTAATTTTTATGTTTCTTTGTATGATTTGTTATTTGGCTACCATGTCTATGTGGAGCTAAACTTTACATTCTAGGGTTATGGTTCTTTCATGATTATTGTTATTCGAATATTGATTTTGCTTTCTTGATTTATCATATTAGTTTATTTATTTAATCTTGCGCCTAATTATTTGATAGTTTGATCACCAATTGAATACTATCTACGAATCTAGTATTGAACTCAGAAGTGAAAATTCTAGATTGCACATAGGATTGAGTAGAGCAAGTTCTTGACCCTGGGCATCGGGGAACGGATTTGCGGTTAGGATAAACATATATCCAATTGCCTTGCTTGGTTGATGTACAGAAATTATAAATGTGTTCTTGTTAGTTCCAATTCCATAGACATATATGCGTTAGGTTAGCTTGAATAGGCGAGTAAGAACTCGACAGATTCTCATGAGCAATATTAATCATGTCAACCAATAAGCTAGATAAATTAGTTAGTCAATTTAATTGAAGAATACAATAGGAATGTTAGATAGCCCATAATCCTAGATTGTTTTCACACATTGATAACATAAAAATCTACTCTTCCTTTGTTCAGAGTTTATTATTTTTTTTTTATTATTTATTTTGATTAGATTAGAGTCATATACTTCTATGTTTAATTCTTATTTAAATAATTAGGATAGTCTAATTTAATTAATAGTTAATTACAAGTCCTCGTGGGTTCGACATTTGACTTTTAGTCACTTTATTACTTGACGACCGCGTATACTTGCGTGTCTGTTTGGCCGCAACAGACTGCTCATTTCGTCTTGGGCCCAATACACTAAAAAGTCTGCTTAGGTTTTCTAGATAGAATTAGAAGAATCTAGTGAGAAAGTAAAATGTATTTATTTTCCTTTGTTTCTGTACATATCTTATAGGTAGTTATAGCTTGACAAATAAACATAGTACATGTGGATAGTTAGTTATGCAAAATATTCTTTTATTATTTATATATATACACATGACTTGTAAAGAAAGAATTCGTTGAATACACTGAAAAGTTTCAGCTACACAAAATTCTCTCCTACATCAATGAATTCTATTATGGTATTATAGCTTTAAGGCTCGATCCTTTCCATCCTTCTTCTCTTGTTTCTTATCCTCCTTTATCTTCCTTTCTCAGTCTTTCTTTCTTTTTGAAGACCAGTTGCAATGTTGGATCCTTCTGATTCATCTTCAGCTACTCATATCACCAAAACAACAGAATCTGAAGCTCAGTCAGGGACTGTTATTCCTGATTCCTCTCACCCTTTTTATCTTCATCCCTCATATTCTTTAGGCATGCTCCTTGTCAACACTGTTTTTGATGGAAAAGGGTATGTTGGTTGGAGGAGAGGTATCCTCATAACCTTATCTACTAAGAACAAGGTGAAATTTATAGATGTGACCTTTTTTCAACCCACGATCTCTTGTGATTCTTTCAAACCTTGGGCTAGAACAAATGATATGGTGATATCTTGGCTATTGAACACTCTGACTAAGGAGATAGTAGATAGCAGAGAGTACCCTCTACTCTAAAACAACCAGGGAGATCTGGTTAGAACTCGAGGAAAGAGTTGGCAAAGCAATGAACCTCAGCTTTACCACCTGCAGAAGGAAATCAGTCAATCAGTGCAGGGAAATTTGGACATTGCAGGATACTACACCAAGCTCAAAAGGCTTTGGGATGAGCTTGACAGCCTAGACACTTGTCAACATTGTACCTATGATTGTAATTGTGGAGGAAAGATCAAAACATACAAATCTCAACAGGATAGAAGGCTAATTCAATTTATGATGGGACTGAATGAAGCCTACTCTGGCCCAAGAAGCAGCTTGGTTATGCTCTCACCCTTACCCTCAATCAACAATGCTTACTCCTTTCTTATCAGGGATGAGAAGCAAAGAAAGGTGCAAATTTCTCAGCCTACTGGAGCGATGGCTTTCTTAGCTAGTAAGCAGCAAATAAGTTTAATGCAGAAAGGGAAAACTCTGAGGGAAAGAAGTCTGTTCAGTTTTGTGCTTATTGTAAGAAGCAAAATCATACCATTGAGAATTGCTACAGGCTTATTGGATTCTCATGTGACTTCAAGTTTACCAAGTCGAAAAGATATGCTCTAACTCCTAAGAGTAATTAGTATTGCCTGCAAAAGATGGTGGAAATCAGTCACTTCCTTCAGGGGAAAAAAACCAATGACACATGATCAGTATCATAGCCTGTACCAGTTGCTTTCAAATGTCAAAGTTGGGAACCAAGGCAATCAGATTAATGAGGAAGCAGTTTCAGCAAATTGTGTTGGTATATTTCCTTCTCCCTAGCCTTCTACTCCTTCTCAGATTAATGAGGAAGCAGTTTCAGCAAATTGTGTTGGTATATTTCCTTCTCCCTGGCCTTCTACTCCTTCTAGATCATTCATTAGTGTTTCTTTAAACTTTGTTTCTTGGATACTAGATTCAGGAGCATCAAAACATATGACTTCTGATTCCAGACTTCTGTTTAATATTCAGACTTTCTCTAAACCTGTTTATGTTACTCTACCCAATTCTCTTAAAGTTTTAGTTTATCAGTATGGTTCAGTTTCTCTTTTAACTCAGCTCACTTTACAGAATGTTTTATTTGTTCCAAGTTTTAATTATAATTTGTCTGTTCACAAATTACGCCTACAATTCAATTCCATCCTAATATTTTCTTCTCTTGGTGCTACATTGCAGCCCGCTTCAATGAAGAGGCCAGTGGTGCTTGGTGAAGTAAAGCAGGGACTCTACATTTTTAATTCAAGTGAAGTCAAGTCTAGAGCTGGAGTTATTAGTAAAATCAAGTCATTTTGCCTTTCTCTTTATAATCAGCATGCTAGGAGTCAGTTTTCAAATTCTATTTTAGCTTCAGTTTTCGGTGATGTAAGCCTTTGTCATACCATAATGGGACATTTGCCATTTTCTAATATGAAGAATATTAGTTCTATTGCTTATTCTGGTTCTTTTTCTAACACATATTCTTGTGACATTTGTGCTAAGGCAAGACAAGTCAAATTATCTTTCCCTTCTAGCTCTATCACTATAAAATATATTTTTGATCTTATATACATTGACACTTGGGGGCCCTATAAGACTAATACTCATGAGGGCTTTAAATATTTTCTTATTGTTGTGGATGATTATAGTAGAGTACTTTGACTTTTCTTCTTAGGACCAATTCTAATGCTTTTCCAGTCCTTAAGAATTTTCTAGCCATGAAAGAAAGACAATTTGGCACTAAAGTAAAGTCAATTAGATCAGATAATGCTTGGGTGTTAGGTTCTGGTTCTCAACACTTTGAATTTTTAGCTTCACAGGGGATTTTACATCAAACAACCTATCTTTACTCTTCTCAACAGAATGGCGTCGTTGAGAGAAAACATAGGCATCTCCTTGAAACCTGTAAAGCACTATTATTCTACTCAAATTGCCTATTCACTTCTGGGGAGAATGCTTGTTAACTGCCACCTATCTAATAAACAAATTCCCTTCTAAAGTTCTAAAAGAGAATTCACCCTATGAAATCCTATTTGGAACACCTCCTTCATATTCTAATCTCAAGGCTTTTGGTTCACTTTGCTATGCCACTACCTTACCTGTACATAGATCAAAATTGGATCCTAGATCACTAAAGTGTATGTTTTTGGGGTATCCTTTTGAGAATAAAGGATACAAATTACTTGATTTACAGTCTAAAAGGGTGCTCATTCCTTGGAATGTGGTCTATCATGAGCACATCTTCCCATTCTCTTCTAAGGAATCCATTCACATTTTTCCTAATAACTCATAAACACCTCACCCAGATCACCCTGTTCCTCTTTCCCCTATCTATCCTAAGGAACTTTCAGACTCTAGAACTCCATGTCCTCCATCTTCTAACCTACCTGCTTGTTCACCTTCACCTACTGCCCCCTCACCTTCTACTCCAATTTCTTCTCACTCTCCCTTTTCACCTATCATACACTCTCCTTACCACACTACAGATTCACATTTCCTTTTGAATGATAAGTCCCCTCCCATCTCAAGTCATTCTTCTGAACCTATTCAGCCAGCACTTAGGAGGTCACTAAGGGATTATCATCTCCCCTTCTACTTAAATGATTACATTTGTAATTCTATTTTTTTTACTAATGTTTCCTCCAGTTGTTTTACCTCCCCTGTGACCCCTCATATCTTGTCTTTCTCAACTTTATCACACTCCAATCAAACTCTTTTAAACTCAGTTTCTTATATGTCAGAACCTTCCTTCTATTATCAAGCTTCCTTACATCCAGGTTCGGTTGAGGCTATGTCCAAAAAAATTCAAGATCTTGAAACTAACACGACTTGGGAGGGCGTAGAACTACCCAAAGACAAGTAAGCTTTACCTTGTAAATGGGTTTACAAGGTGAAATATAAACAAGATGGGTCGCTTGAAAGATATAAAGCACGGTTAGTTGTAAGAGGGGAAATACAAAGAGAAGGCATAGATTTTACTGAAACCTATTCACTAGTGGTGAAAATGACTACTATAAGGTGCTTATTGACTATGGCAGTTAACAAGAACTGGGAAGTTTTTCAACTAGATGTTAATAATGCCTTCTTGCATGGTGATTTGCAAGAAGAAGTTTACATGAAATTTCCCGATGGCCTCTCCCCTCCTATGCCTAATTATGTGTGTAGACTCAAGAAATCACTCTATGGGCTACGACAAGCATCAAGACAGTGGTGTGCTCGACTCACAACAGCCCTGAGTTTCAAAGGCTTCTCGCACTCACTCAATGATTACTCTCTTTTCTTTAAACACTCAGACGGGAAAACAACTATTATTGCAGTTTACATGGACGATATCTTACTAACAGGGAATGGCTGGTACGAGTTCTACATGATCTCTCTGTTTCTCCTTCTTTACTAGTGTCGCTTCACTCCGATAGTCAGGCGGCGATGTCCCGTCTTCCATGAACGCACCAAACACGTTGACCTTGATTGTCACTTTGTGCGTCAGCAGTACCTCGCCGGCCTTATATCTTTGTCGTATGTACCTTCGATTACAAAACCCCTTTCTAGGCCATCTCACATATCCGTTTTGGGCAAGTTGGGGATTGTTTCACGTCCCTTCAACTTGAGGGGGGATGTTAGTGATATGATTTCACATTCATTAGAAGGTGAGAATGATTTGCAAAGAAAACTTAAAGAGAGAAAATGAAGGTGGATTTGTGGAGTAGTAGTTTGATACAAACGAGGTTAAGCGAAGCTCTTGTCTGAAGAGCTTCTGATATTTTGGTTCAAGCTTAATACAATTGGGTCAAGCAGGCATTTGGCTTAAATTGCTTCTTCGGACTGCTTATTTCGTCTTGGGCCCAATACACTAAAAAGCATGCTTATGTTTTCTAGAAAGAATTAGAAGAATCTAGTGAGAAAGTAAAATGTATTTATTTTCCTTTGTTTCTGTACATATCTAATAGGTAGTTATAGCTTGACAAATAAACATAGGACAAGTGGATAGTTAGTTATGCAAAAGATTCTTTTATTATTTGTATATATACACATGACTTGTACAGAAAGAATTCACTGAATACACTGAAAAGTTTCAGCTTCACAAAATTCTTTCATGCGTCAATGAATTCTATTAGTAATTAATTAATACCATTCGGTTAACAAATTGTCACCCATTTACTTTTTAACTCTTACAAAAGGTAATTTTAAACCAAAGCCAAAAGTGAAGAGATAAATTTAGACCATTTTTCTCACATATTTTACATTCAGCCAATTACCCCGGTTCATGCTAGAGCTCTATTTAAATCAAGGATAAATACAAGATGGTTCGCGAAGAGTATGAATAAGCCCAAAAGTATAATCAAGGAATAAATTAAAATATTTCGTATGGTAAAAATAACAAAATGAAAATTTTGATATTTTTTTTTGAAGTTCATTAATTTTGTTCAGTTATGAAGTAAATATCTTTTAAAATATATTCTTTTCGAAATTAATTTTCGGGGATTAATTACCATACTGTTGAAAATATTCCTGTTACTTGTTTTTTATCAACATACAAACAAAAACACTACTTCTGCATAAAACAATACAAGACAAGGCCCAATACGCACTTCCCCACTGCTATTACGCTCAAGAACTGTGTATGACCAACTAAATACCAAAAAAAAAAAAAATACAAAATATAATTTTGAACTATAACTTTCTTGTATAAAACATTTGGGTGTAAAATAGTTTTTCAGAAAAATATTACGGCGAACAATAGCGATGTACTAGATAAGTCTGTGATGCATGCACTTCTTTTTGTATATGTTTATAGTCAACTCGGACATTTTCTTTTTCTATAATATATATATCTCCACCGCGAATCCTAATATTATTAAATTTATAGTATATTGTTAACGCAATTTGTACATGTTCGCACGTCTCGAGTTTCTGAACCTAAAGGAGGTGCTTCTCACGTATGCTACTACCTACAACTCAAAGCGATGATCATTTTCATTGGCTACTTCAAAAATTATATATATAGATAGGTATACATTAACAAAACAAGCAATTCCACTTCATTATTTCAGTTGAAGCTCCTCTTCCCCAAATTTCAAAGAATGAAGAGTTTTTCAAGTACCGCCACTTTGCTTTACGCCACGGCCTTCTTTCTAGTGGCCTTCGTTTCTGCTTTACCATTTGACGATATTGACCTTCCTTTCGATTACTATAGCCTTAGCTGTCCCAAGCTTGAGGAGATTGTACACAACAAAATGGAGGAATGGGTTAAAAAAGATTATACCCTTGCTCCTGCTCTCATGAGGTTGCATTTCCACGACTGCGTTGTTAGGGTAAGTAAGCATATTCGAGAGATAATTTAACCTTAAATTCTTATTTTACTTTTAATCATGCTTTTATATATAGCCATAAAAATGTCATAGAATATTTAAAATCACATATTTAAGAAGTTTTTCTTTCATTCTTAAACTTCGTCCTCGATCAAACACCATCATATAAATTGAACATAAATAAGTTGAATTATAGTTAATATAACCCCAAAAAGGTCTAGTTTAAAGCTATATCTCCACTTTTTGGAATTTTTATTTGAGTGTACAAGATGTGATACCTAGGTACAAAATGTTCTTTAATTAAGTTTGATATTGTGTACATGGATGGTAGGGATGTGATGCTTCAATACTGTTAGACCACGAAGGAAGTGAGAAGAGTGCCAAAGCAAGTAAGACATTAAGGGGATTCGAGGTAATAGAGGACATCAAAAGAGAAGTGGAGAGAGTGTGCCCAAGGACAGTGTCGTGTGCTGATATTCTAACCGTAGCTGCTCGAGACGCCACACTTGCTGTAGGTGGTCCATTTTGGATGGTTCCATATGGTAGGAAAGATGGTACAGTTTCATATGCTAAGGAAGCTGATCAATTGGTCCCTACGGGTCACGAAGTAGTCACTGATTTGCTTGAACTTTTCCAGTCCAAGGGCTTGAATGTTCTCGACTTGGTTGTCCTCTCTGGTGAGTCCAACTAGCCACCTAGCTTCTATTTTATATGACACATTTTTTGTTTTAGTATGATCCCAAAAGAATTGCACATTCTCTTACTTATATATGAAAACTACGTAACTTAACATCCATATTTTCGTTTATTGACATGACTTGTTGGCCGGACTCACTTGATATAAACGTTCATTTTTTTTAATGATTAAAAAAAGGACATGTGAAATTCTCACAGACATTCATTTAATTGGTTAATTTTGACACCTTACGCAGATTTGGCTTACATATCAAAATTTTCCTTTAATTTCTTAAACTTCATATATATTCAGTCAAACACTTCCAGATAAACTCAGACAGGAAGGGTAATCCTTATCTATGTAGCTATTTTTGGTTTAATGATCGATCGGGGATATCGATGGACTAGATCTACGCCCATCAAATTAAAGTAGCAAAAAAAGCTATAACTCAAATTAAGAATTACAGTTGAATATTAGTGTTGGTTTAATTATTTACGTTATATATGTAGGAGCTCACACAATTGGAAGAACCACATGTGAATCTCTGCAATACCGGCTATACAATTATAATGGAACTAGAAAATCAGATTCAAGGCTCGATCATCTCTACTTAAACTATTTGGAAAGGAAGTGCAGATGGGCATCTGAATATGTTGACCTTGATGCTGTTACTCCCAAGAAATTTGATGTTCAGTACTACAAGAATTTGCAGAAGGGAATGGGACTATTGTTGACAGACCAATTGCTCTACTCAGATCCAAGAACTGCACCTATTGTCACAGCTTTGGCTACTCAACCAGACGTCTTTGAAAACCTGTTTGCAGCATCTATGGTCAAGCTTGGAAATATTCAAGATTATCTTAGCGTTGATGGTGAGGTCCGACTCAGTTGCGCCAGTGTTAATAGTCCTGGTTATTAATATTTTGACGGACTTTTAAAGTTATATATATACATGGACGGACTTTTAAAGTTATATATATACATGGACAGTGTAAAGATATTTTATACTATCAGTATGAATTTGTTCCTTTTTCTTTTTCACTACTACACTATTTTGTACTTCGAAATTTGCAAATTAAACTCCGAAATATTTAATTATCTGATGATAGTCCTTGTTGAGATTTCTATGTATTATATTTATCCTTTTAATTAAGCTTGAAAGTTAGACGAGTTGTCGGCCGGACATTGTATTTGTATGATTTTTGGGTTGTTAATTGAACAAGATATTGAGAAAAACTCAGCATATCATTGAAAATAAGTGTGTATATCTGTGGATCTGCATGTATAGTTTTTATGAAGTGGTACATTTAACTTCTGTGATCGTGAATTAATCCCTTAAGCAATCTTTAGTTTGTTGAAGAATAAATTATAATAGGGGGTTGAATAGTAATTAAGTAATTCTCATCGTATGTCGGTAATTTAGTAATTAATTAAAAAAGCATAGCAGCATGTGAAGAAAGACTTCAAATAGTACTCCCTCTATTTCAATATACTTTGGCACATTTAGAATTTCGAAAGTTACATTTCTTAATTTTTTTGATATTTTTTCGGACATAAAATCTTTAATTTTTTTGAAATAAAATTTACATATTTAAAAATTACGTAAAAAGTACTATAAATTATAATAATTAGTAATTCAAAATATTTAAAAGGTATTTAAAAGTCTCGTGATTAAAGAAACATTAGTTTAACTCTCAAAATTTCAATAATACCACATAAATGGGGACATGATGAGTAATAAACTAGACCACCTTGCACATACCAACAGAGAAAGTACGGAAAAAATTGTATTCTCTAAAATGTTGTCATTTAAAGTAAAGTTTTCAAAATGATCAAATTAAGAACCTTTTGAGTTTCCGTATTTTTTTCTTTTTTCTTTCTTCTTTTCTTCTTTTTTCATTTTCTTTTTCTTTTTTCCCGTTGTTGTATTGTCGAACCATTGACCAAGCATACTAAAATGAATATTGATGGCTTGGGCGGATGTTTAATTTGAAAATATCCCATCCTACGTTATAATTTCATCCACAATTATAAACTAAGTAATTCCATTGTTGTTATTGCCACCTTTGATTTATTCTTTGTTTTTCTCTTTTTCCGCTTGGCAGCTAATTATCGGAGAATGTCTACTCAGAAACTTTTCTCTTCAAATGTGTNCCAATCATCCAAAATTCCACAGGACGCACTAGTCAGTATTTGCATTTGCATGTCTCTTCTCACGTCTCTTACTCATCTCATTCACCTACAACTTTTGGCTCCACTTGATCTTTCTACTGGGAGACGAACTACCCCACCACCTAGGTATACGTTAGAATAAATGCAATCAATCTATTCTTAATCTATGTCTCAAGTTCGAATTGAAAAAATTACTAAAAGGAAGTACTTTGTCCTTAAATAAATCTCGCATGGTACAAATCTAAAGTAGTCGAGTTGATAAATTCTAAATTGGAGAAGATTAAACAAAAAAAAGATTACCCTTTTGGCTCCACTTGATCTTTCTACTGGGAGACTAACTACCCCGCCACCTAGGGATGCAGTAGAATTATGGGTGTTTAACGGGCGGGCTGGGACGGGCTGGACACAAAAAAAATCAGCCCGTCCGTTTAACGTTGCGGGCTGTTAGCGAGATGAGTTAGCGGGCTGTATTTTTTCGGATTATTTTTGTCCGTCCGGGTTCGGGCTTAGCGGGTTATTAGCGGGCCGTGGATTATTTTTTTTTTATAGTAAATTTTGTTTGTCTTATTCAATGTTATTGATACTTAAGTGTTTGCAAACTTTTAAGGCTTAGAATTAAACTTTGAAGTTTAAAATTTAAAATTTAAATTTTATAATATTAAAATTAAAATTTGAAAGTAAGTGACTACAAAAAATTATTTAATAAGACCTATATGTAAGGATCAAGCTCCGAAGACTTTCATTTGATATTTTTATTGAATAATATATAATACTTCAAATTAAGTTGCAAGTTCTTTTTTGATTTTGTTATTTTTGAACTTGCAAATTAAAAGTTTACAACAATTACAAAAAATAAATAGTACATCATTTTTGTAAGTTCATCCATGTCAACATGAGGTTCTTGATTTCCGGCATTGGTTGAATCAGAACCATAAACTATTATATCTCCAATTTCTTAGTCCTCCGCTTCATCTACCTCGTCACGCCCTTGATTTCGCCGTTCTGATCTTATACAATCTCTGAAGCACACTAGAATTTTCAAAGCATTGCTACCCAATGAATGACGGGTATCTCCTAGTTGCTGCCTTACTTGGCTAACTTTCTGATGCGACTATTGAAATCGGCACATTTAGCACGTCTCGAGCCATGGCCGAAAGAACAGAAANCCAGCCCGCCCCCACGCTACAGTACCGGACTGACCCGGGCTGAACCGGATTGTAAACGGGTCATCCCGGCCCGATTAACAGGTATAAGTAGAATAAATGCAATCAATTTATTCTTAATCACACTTCTCTAGTTCTAACCTTAAGAATAAAAAAATTACTAGTAAGAAATACTTTATTAATAAAATAAATCTTGCACAAATACACGAATTTATATTAGTCGAGTTAATAAATTATAGATAGAATATGGTTAAACAAAAAACAATACTCCTCTCTCTCCTTCCATCTCTCTTTCTGTAATCTTTCAAGGTCACCAGACATTGATAAAGTAATATAATTCATAACTCCCTTTCCCACTTTATCTCTTTCAAGATTCTCTTTTTTCTCTCTCTTTTATTTCCTCTTTCTTTCTCCATGCGTTTTATCTTTGAACTACATCTCCTAAAGTTACATCCCTAATTTTTCAAACTAGTTTAAGCTAGCTAGTTCTGCTTTCTTTTTTTTAGGGTTTTCACATGGTTAGCCCCTCTTGTTATCAACAATAAAGCCCACACATGCAATATCTTTGTTCGTCGAAGACATCTAGTGTTGAATAGTTGATCTTCTTGTATTTTTGTACTTGTTTATGGTTAAGGATGGCTTTCTAGCTTCTCTCCTGTAAAATGACTACTACTTCTTCTTCTTTCATTTCTCCTTACAATATTGCCTCACTACTTACTCTCTTCTTCTTTCTACTTCTCACTGTTATGGCAGAAGACGGACAACTACAACCGAATCTTTTACGAGTTAATTATCATTCATCAGTAGATCATTATGCTGTCAAGAAGAAACTGAGAGAAGATCAAATTGCTAGTAAAAAAGTTCAATATTCTCCAATTATGGGTAGAAGAGGTAAACATGAGTACCCTAAAGCTCATCAATCGCCATCCTACTTATGGAGAGACAAATTATTGAATGCTAGTGCTCATGAAGTTCCTAGTGGTCCAAACCCCATTTCAAATAGGTAATTAGCCAGTAATTAAACAACAAGTTAGAAAGGTTGATTTCTTATAAGCTTCTTCTTTGTCTGTACCTTTAATTTCAATTTATGCAGGTTTCTAAAGGTATGTATACACTATTAAATTAGTCGTCGTTATACAATATAATCATGAATATTTGTCTTATATATTATGTCTTTTTGGTGTCCATTATTTTTAATATCAATGCGATTTCACTACAACTTTTGTTATGATTATATGATTGTTTTAATCATTTGGTAATGAGAATGCAAAGATCATGAAATTCATATTTATAAGTTATCTTTGATTTCTATTGTTTTTTAGTACATCAATGGCCACAACATTTTAATGTCAGTGTCCCTTACTATTTTTTGTCACTTTTCGCTTTGATAAAGCTGAATTTGTATGCTGTTTCCACCACCATGCCCAAAAAGATAAGGCAGTCTTAATTGCTTTCCCTGCACATATTATTCAATAAACCGTGTAATTAGCAATAGTATATATTATGTTAATTAGTGCCTACTAGATCACTATGTATTGTTCACCAAATCTGAAACAGAAATTCCAATTATGCCTAAAATATTCACGATAAGACAAATATTTGTGATTATAGTGGAAAATGAAAGTGACGTTTAGTAGATAAACCTAGAGTAGTTACGAAAAAGAAAAAACAGGACTATCCCTATTGTATGTTTGAAACGCAAAAGCTAGAGTAGATCTTAATAAATTTAATTTGCATGGGCTTATAGCAACCGAAAGATTATCTGGGAAGGTTCAATATGCTAATATTGTTAGACTCCACTCTGTTCAAAGTAATGCATATATGGTTTGCCTTTTCCTTTATAGAAATAAGAAAGAATAAAAATGGACACCAAAAATTAAAGAGGGCGAACAAGCAAGTCCAAATGAGCTAAAAGGTATGTCTGAGGAACACAATGATTAATATACGGGAAGGTAGGGATTGGTCTTCTATGTGTTAAGATGAGACTGCATGCAATATATGACAACTCAAGGAAGGACGACCATATATATGAAACATTATCACTCATTCTACGTGACAATATTTTTTTTATTAATTTGTTTTAAAAAATATCTTTTATATATAAAAAAGAATTTGATCTTAATTTTTATTTTATCTCTCTTAATATTATGCTTTTATGGACAAAAATTATCACAACGAATTTAATTAAGATTACAAGTTTCAAATCGTGGCTGAGCCACATGCCATGGGAATAGCCATTTGACTGCTGGAAAAGTTATAATGTGTAAATAGGGTAAAAATTATTTTTTTAGATTATATAATTTTTGACATTTTTAACACAAGAGAAATACATGTTCAAATCTTAGGGGTAGCATTTTTAGATTTTTTTTGAATCCTCTTACCAGAATTTTTAACTTCGCCGCTAGTGATTTCAAAAGTCTTTTTTTCTTCCTTAAACCATATATCAAAACACTGCTACTTTATATACGCGTATACACAATTTTGTTTATTATCGAGACAGCATAGTATTCCAAAGCTGGACTTTTGCCTTTTCCTTTTGTTTTGGGGTGGTGGTTGGGGGATAACAAGAGGGCAATAGATAGGGAAGAAGGGTCCCTTTCCTTGAGCTGATTTTAATGAGCCTTAGTTTTCAGCTTCCCTCTGAGCAACAGCTGTTGCATGTGCTCTTCTTGGCTCTTTCTTTCAAAGCCTGAATCGCCATATATAAAATTAAAAGGTGATACATCTTTACCTCTCTTCAATTCAGTCTTTTTAATGTTCTTGTTTGTTATTCTTTCTTGTTTGCTTCTGAATGGAAGGGTTTGCTTACCGAAATGCTCCACTTGTTTTCATTGGAAACGACATGAAATTATTACCGTTTTCCTTTTTTCTTTTTCAGTTTCAAATTTAATTACTGCTGAACTACTTGAAACTATCCTCTTTGAATGATGCAAAGACTGAACTTTGTATCCTGCCGCTAACTAGTCAGTCGTGCTAGCTAAACGAAAAAATAAACGAGTGGCAGACGGATTCAGGATTTCAAGAAAATATGTGTACTATTATAAAAAGGTGGATCTAAAATTTATATTTGTGGCCGATTTAACTTTCGTCTCTTACTATGAAGCCACGACACTTTAAAAATTATAAGTTTAAAATTATATTCTTTTGAAAATTTTAGTGTTTATATATATATATATATGATCGTTCAAAGTAGGATTTGAACCACCAATTTTATTTGTCGAGGTACACCAAATGATTATTGCACCATATGAGTCTTAGAACATTGTTGCACGCACGTATATTTAAGTAAATTTTAAAAAATATAATATTATTATATACTATTAAATAAGAGAAGCATGAGTTCACGTGAACCCAATTTTCCTTAACCTAGATACGCACTTGTTGGCATTGCCTATAAACTCCCAAAGATATAAAGATTGCAAAGAAGAGATGTCTGTGTGATACTAAATATATAATAAGTCTGTGCAAAAAGTTCAGAATAAAAAATGAATATGTACAGTTTAATTGTATATTAGTAATAACTTTGATGATGAATCATGAATTGGTTTCATACCTTATTTATAATTTGAATGTCCATCACCTTTTACAATGATCCCAAAGCCAAATCTCAATCTTTTTTTTTTGAGTTGGTTCATGAAAAAGAATGTAAACTATAAAGACAGAAAATAAAGGGCGATGTTTTAACAAATCTCAAAACTTTTACAAAAATATTTCGTGCCAAAGTTTATCTCATGTAGCGTTTCAAATTCTGGACAAAACTCCAGCCCATCAAAAGATAAAGACACAAGAAGTAAAAAGTAAAAGAAGAGGATATTTGTTAACCTTGGTTTGCATTCTTTTACCAAAGTAGAACAACCCGTCACTTCATTAACTTTGGATTAAAGAAGACAATCAGTCCATGCATATTCTTTTTACAATCTCAACGTTGTCTAATCTACTGCACATTAATGTTTTCTCAGGTCATCTATTAGTCTTTGTTGATGAGTTTTTCCAACAAAAAAGTTACTTGGCTTAAAAGTAGATTAAACTCAAACCCCAAGGTCAGGGACAAAATTATGCCTTTGATTGCAAAAAGTTTCTCTTTGACTGCACTTGACCATTTACATTTACCCCCTCGATACATCCTCCTCCCCTAGCGGGAAAAAGATGTTGTTACCAATTTTTGTTCTCGACTCCACGCACCGTTTTCAGAAAGATAATTAAGAAATTCAACTTGTCAAGAGTGGGTTGTTCTAGTGGTAAACACTCTCCACTTCCAATCAAGAGGTTGTGAGTTCGAGTCATCCCAAGAGCAAGATGGAGAGTTCTTGGAGGGAGAGAGCCGAGGGTGTCTATCGGAAACAATCTCTCTACCTTAGGGTAAGGGTAAGGTTTGCGTACACACTACCCTTCACAGACCCTACTAGTGGAATTATACTGGGTTGTTATTGTTGTTGTTATAACTTATCACTATCTATGAAAATATTGAAAGCAAGTACCGCTGGAAAAATAGGTCTACATGCATTACCTAAAAACATGTTAGTTAAATTTAAACATTCATAACTTATTTTAACATTTTATTTATATCTTAACACTTATTTTAACATTAATTATAAGTGTCATAATGAAAGTCGAGCGGTGCACTTTATGTGCCAGGATAATCTAACGAGGTTTAGCCCAATGAGGCCCGTAATGGGAGGCCCAATTATGGTTTCAATATTATTTTCTCTTCTATGAGACATTTTTCTCTTCTCCAACCCTTATATGAGACACACTTTTCTCTTCTCTAACATACGATCATACAATCATACAATTATTTAAGAGAGTGCCACATAAGTGTGTGATAGTTTTCTCATTGATGTCGTCAAAATTGAGACAAGAAATAGAGATGCAATTTGTAAAAAAGATATTTTACAACCACTAAATTCTCTCTCTAGAATCAAGTTTTCTCTCAGTGAAAGCTGAACATGGACAGGAAATCNCAGCAGATACGAAGAAAACACAAAGCATCCATGTATTTCAATAAATCGTACCGCTAGAATTGTCTCAAGTAGATATGGATACACACTAGCTCGTTGTAATTCGATGAGCAGAGATGAGAATTGCATGGCGCAGAGTAACGGAAAAAGCTCATGGGAAGATATGGTAGAAGAAGAGGCGGTGGAGGAAGTAGGGTTGGGGCAATCACAACATGCCATGAATTCATGGAGTAAAGTAGTAGGGCCAATACCTACGACTGAGGGATTCAATTTATGTAGTGAGGAAGTGACCAATCAAAATGTCAAAATTACAATTGATGATATCAAGGATGAAGTTAAGTATTGGAGATCAACAGCCAATTTGCTACGTGCTGGGTTCTAACCCTCAATTGTCAATAATGGATGGGCATTTTCGGAGAATTTTGGGAAACAAGGGAATTGACAAAGTGGCACTCGTTAACAATGGGGTGTTCCTTGTGCGATTTCAGTCTGAAGAAAGTAAAATCAAAACTGTTGAAGAAGGAGTCCAGATGTTTGATAAAATGCCAGTTGTTATTAAACCATGGAAACAAGACATTGATATGAAAATGAGATTATTGACAAAATTTCTCTATGGATTAGACTCATGGGATTGGATATCAAGTATGGGGGAAATAGTGCTCTCACAAAAATTGCAGGTATGGTGGGAAAGCCATTGAAGGCAGATAGAGCTACATCGCAGAAATGGCGACTTACATTTGCTAGAATACTTGTTAAGGTGTCAATTAACCAGCAATATCCATCAAAAGTCATGTTTGAAAATGAATATGGAAAGATTATAGAGCAAAGAACTGTTTATGAGTTGAAGCCAGTGCTTTGTGCCACATGTAACAACTTTGGGCATGAGCAACTGGAATGCCGGAAATACATGTGAAGGGAGGATGCTAAGGAACAACAAGGCCAAAATAAAATACAGAATGATCAACAAAAAGCAGATAAGGGTAGGCAGGAAAGACCTAAAAACACTACTGGAACAGTAGGGAATGAAGGAGGGAGGATAAAAAAAAGTCACGCAAGAGATATAACAAAAGAAGAATGAACCCGAGAAAAGAAATAATTATGCTATACTTGTTAGAGGAACTGGGAAGAATAGTAAGACAACAGTATCAAGAGAGATGACTCTGAAACTTGGGAACTCATATGCTGCACTAGCACAAAGAAATGAGGA